GTTCTCAGAATGCTACCTCATAGTGTTCAAAACAGTCGGAGAAAGTTGAACCAAGTCTCACTTTAAACGAAGAGTGAGAGAGGAAACTATAATGGAAGAGTGTAAGATGGCCACAAAGACTAAAGAATACAGTTGGAATAAAATATTGTATCTCACGTTGGTGTCATAAGCCATTTCCTGGTCAAATAGAACGGCAACAACGGAGGTATTGGCAACAAAGGCATTGCGAATTTTGACCTACAAGTCTACTAAGATGTTTGTTGTGTGGCGACACTTATGATAGCTAAATTAAGAAGGAGAGAGGAAGCGATGATGTTCTAAGAATGATTTGAAACGAATATTAACACGCCTCGCCAGAACAGTGGGGCGAAAACCAGTAGGAAATATCTCTTGAGAATGTATTTGGTTTCCGATAAGGAAGAATAACTGCCTCAAGCCAGTCCTCGGGACTGATGTCGCCTTACAAATACGGTTATAAATATTCAGCAAATACTGAAAGGTTCACTTAGGGAACAGTACAACTAATCAGGAGAAAGCACCAAGCCATCACGACTATATAGCACCACTGGGAAGTGGTCAGGGTAAGGATATGGGATGGGACGGGATGGGGGTGGGTGGGAGGGATAAGAATTGTGCCCAACCACTTGGACGGTCGGAGATTGAACGTCCACCTACATGAAGGGAGACCGTCGCTCTACCGTCCAGTCTAAGTGGTTGGTCAGGCAGATGACGAAGAATCTCATAGTGACTGCCGTCTGAGCGTGCCACCACAGTACTGAAGTGGGACAGGGCAGACAGGGGTTCATAAACAAAGTCATCATTATAGCGAAGCTGCAGCTAATTGCAAAATCCCAAGGGAAAAGGTTTCCCATGCCCCACATAAGGGGCTTACAGTAAGAACAGTAGGAGGAAGATGAGAGCTGGAATTAATTGCGGAAATTTGTGAACCCAGATCCTTCTTGACTGATAACGGATCTGCCACGACGGAACCAGGGAGATAAAGGATTGGCCAAAACAAATTTATTTGTAACATATTTACCTGCAATCTAATGGATTTTCCTCCAGGTCTGAGGGAGAGGTGTGTCAACAGAAATGGCGGAGACAAAAGTTTTCCAACTCTCACATTTAGAGTTGGAAAGAGAAAGATCGATATAGGAAAGTGTCCGAGTGCGCGTCAACTTGAGTCGGCTCGCTGGAATTCAAGAGAGACACTGGAGAGGAGAGGACGAAACGTTATAGTAGATGGCCTCGGGTATTTGTCAGATTGCCCCAGATTGATTGATGTATTATTGATGTAAAGCGCTTAGCCATTACGACTATACCGCACTTGGAAGGGACCAGGATAAGGATTTGGGATGGGACAGGGGGAGAAGGAATGGTGATCAACAACTTGGGACGGTCGGGGATTGAACAGTGACCTGCATGAAGTGAGACCGTCGCTCTACCGTCCAGCACAAGTGGTTGAACAGATTGCCCCAGAGGGCATGTTGGCGGTTAAAATCATCCAAAAGGAGCACAGGCTCTGGTCATGAGTGTAGGAGGCGTTTAGGATCGAGGTGAGAAATTGGAATATGTGGAGATCGAGAAGAGAAATTGGAATATGTGGAGATCGAGAAGAGAAATTGGAATATGTGGGGGATCAAGAAGAGAGTGAAATATGTGGAGATCGAAAAGATAAAGTGGAATATGTGGGAATCGAAAAGATAAAGTGGAATATGTGGGGGGATGATAAATGGAACAGACTGTATACATTCACTCACAAAGGTATGGGCGGCAGAGGAATGAACGTCCGACTAAAAGACGAGGAGGATCAAAGGACCATCGTTCTGGACCAAGAAAGCCACAGAGTTAGGGGGTCCAGCAAAAGTTGGAGAGGACGAGAGAAAGAAATAATTGCAGAAGTTACCAGGACGAACGACAATCATTGACTCCTTGAGGCAGACTCAGAGTGGTGAAAACTGTGAGATAAAAAGTTGTACTTCATTATTATTCGCATCAAATTACGTATATTACATTGAAGAATAAACATAGTAAAGAACTGAGATACGAGTACAAAGAAAGAGACAAAATCTAAGGTAGTGAAGAATACAGGAGAACAGGGAAGATCAGGAGCAGGTTCTGTGGAGTCACAGTGAGGGAAGTATAGATAAATCCAGCAAAGATGGTTGAGTTGAGATGGTGGCGGTATGGAGCACACGACTATCCTTCTTACCGAAGTGGTAAGGGTTCGTTAAGGAGGGGGTGCTGGAGAGGGGGAGTGGGGCTGAAGGGCAGAAACTGTGGTGTACATCTAATCGAAGGCAACACCAGAGGTAGCAGCAAGGTCTCCGGCAACTTCCATAGTGAGGTCAGCCGACTCTACTATCGAGATGCAGGAACAAAACCGGAGACAAAATTTAGAGAAGTCTCAGGTGTGGAGCAAAATATTAAGAGGATGAAATGAAGAAAACTGGGAGGAGCATAGATATTAGCCTGGATGGACATGTGGAGGGGAAGACTGAAGAGGAAAACGGAGCAGAAAGTCGAAGGTTGTCATAGTGGATACATAAGTGAAGAGGCAGAGAAGTGATGCAAATATGGCGGGTAGGTGACTATGAATGAAGGGTGGAAATGGTGGTTGGTGACACTTGAGCCTCAGATCATACAGGAATGGAAGAAGGAGAGCTGGTGGTGTTGGGTTTAAGGATTATAAATGGCTGTGGAACTGATAGAAGGAAAGAAGGGTGGGGAGGAATAGTGTGATGCAACTCACGAGCATAAATCATGTCAGAGAAAGAGTTAAGATGACGTGCCTAGCGTCTTGCCTCGGGGAAAGACATATGATCACGATAAGTCGAAGATGGCGTCTTCAAATTTACCGTGACTGCATGTGCAGAAAAAGTACCGCAGTTGATGCTTCGAGTTTAGGGAGAAGAACAATCTGTCCAAGAATGTCCAGGGTCCCAACACAAGGGTCAAAGAGACGTCTCTCTACTGCCGTCGAGGAACCATAAACATAATTCCAGCACCTTCTGCAGAGACGTGAAAAGGGAATATATTATGGAACAGAGCATATGACACCAGCAAGAATCATGGAAGACGGAAGTGTCCTACCATTATAAGTGCTCTTATCTACTCTAAATAGTTGACGTCAAGAAGGTCGAATGAATGCGTCAACCTGAAGGATATAGTAACCCTGGGCCTCCAGGATATATTTAATATCCTCATAGCAGTCTTTGAGTTTCCTGTCTCCGGTCACAACATAGTGCGGGAGAATGACGGCGCAAATGCTGGCGTTCAGTTGGAGATTTTGGAGACCCAAACCCAGGCTTTAACAATGCAAGACAGAGCAGCGATGCATGCGGCTGCCTCTTTAGAAGGGGTCTCAACGATGCGTGTGTCAGTCTGGGTGGGGTTAGAGATTACATAGTCAGTAAGGTGCTAATGTATATGTCAGGGAAGAACATCAGGGAAAAGTTTTCGTCGTGAGAAACATTAAAATATTTAAGCCACATAGCAGGGCCAAACAGATCATTGTATACAGCAGTGTTTGAAAGAATTATGTGTGTTCGAGTGCGAGTATTACACTGTGGTTCCCTATTAACGGGGAAGGTAAAGGCGCAGGTGCCACAACTATAAATAGAGCCACTTCAGGTGGTGATGAGGTAGTTGTTGTTGTCAGCCAGTCTAATTCAAGTAGCAATTCAGTACGAGAGATGCTGCACACCTTGAACAGTCACCAGCAACACTGTAACACTCGAACACTTCAGCCTCAGTATGGAGCAGACAGCCAGTTTCCCACCGCTTCCAGATTCCACGCTCTCGTCCCGCATTCGAGCTCTTTGACTAAGCCCACATTCTGAGCACCAAACTCTACACGTTCACCCCGCATCCCAGCTGTCTATCCCAGGCCTCATTCAGCTCTCTAACCAACTGGTGTAACCAAGATTATCTAATTAAATATAAGAAACCACTAAACTCATTATGTCTTATCACTAAACACGTACACGTAAACAAACGTTACATTGTTGTAATGTTACAAAGTAACAAACGTTACTTTGTTGGACATTTGGGGCCGACCCTAACAAGGACGTGGGAGGGAAACAAAGAGTCAGTTTTGATGCAGAAAGATGAAGCCTAGTCTGGGCCCCAGCATAACCAGGGCTACAGAGCCTGATCTTCCATCACTGTCCGACTCAGGAGCCTGGGGCCAGATTCACGAAAGTACTTACGCAAGCACTTACGAACCTGTACATCTTTTCTCAATCTTTGGCGGCTTTGTTTCCAATATTAAACAGTTAATGAGCTCCGAAGCATCAGGAGGCTGTTTATAACATTAACAACAGTTGAATGGGAAGTTTTCATGCTTGTAAACTGTTTAATAAATGTAACCAAAGCCGTCAAAGATTGAGGAAAGATGTACACGTTCGTAAGTGCTTGCGTAAGTGCTTTCGTGAATCTGGTCCCTGGTCACCAGTCCTATGAGCCTGTGTCTGAAAAGTCGCTTCAGTTACCATATGTCATTTTCTCAAACGTTTGGGGCCCCGAGTTAAGGAATACCACCTACCAGGGCAGCTATGGAGGCCGGTGGAGGAAAGGTGCGTCATCCCAAGTGGTTGTTCCCATTTTTAACAATGCAGTCCTACTTCATTGTTACTTCCCCACTTCCCCTACTTCTCCCACACCAGTGCAAAGACCTCTTTATCCCTCTCACCTCAGCCCGGACACGCTTCCAGCCTCCGCAGGTAGCCCCTCATGGGCGACCCCACCCAGTGGGTGATCTGCTGACCCATGCGGGTACCTTATGGATATCTCTGTCGCACATACAATGACTACTACAAATCGGAAAACATTAAATTCTTCTTCTACCCAAGAGTAATAAACCCGTGGAACATCCTGGCTGCCCAAACTTCTCTCACTAAGGCCACTAGAGAAAGTTACACACAGGTCAGGGTAAAAATCTGATTGAAGCAATCAGATCACGTTAGGGTCTGTTCGTTCTTAAGAGACAGTGAGCTTACCACCAGTCCACGTTCAGCAGCTTTCATCGTGTACCAGCCCGCAATGCCATAGTGGTTGCTTCCTGCAATTATCATATATCCAAGATAATTTTATCTTCCAGTCATCATCGTTGCTCAATATAACATGCAATAAAAGAGAAACCAGTTAATACACGTGTAACAAGTCAGCATTTATAGTATATTGTATATAGTAAATTAAATTTGTTATATTCTTTATTTAAAATTATGTTATGTTAAATTATGTTAAAAATAAAAATAATAAAATATGAAAATAAAAATAATAAAAAACAATAAAAAAATAAAATAATAAAATAAACAAAAATAATAATAAAATAAAATAAAAAATAAATAATGTTAAATTATGTTTTAAATTTATGTTATTTTTTAATTTCTATTAAATTTATGTTATAGTAAATTATATATTTTATAAATTATATAACTTAAACAGAAATACAAAGTTTGTGATGACATATTCCGAGACAAACGTGGGCTTGTACTGTTAGGCCACTGTGGCTTACACAAGTGACAGACCGTTATCTTGAGGTTATCTTGAGATGATTTCGGGGCTTTAGTGTCCCCGCGGCCCGGTCCTCGACCAGGCCTCCACCCCCAGGAAGCAGCCCGTGACAGCTGACTAACACCCAGGTACCTATTTACTGCTAGGTAACAAGGGAATTCAGGGTGAAAGAAACTTTGCCCATTTGTTTCTGCCTCGTGCGGGAATCGAACCCGCGCCACAGAATTACGAGTCCTGCGCGCTATCCACCAGGCTACGAGGCCCCCTCATGGGCGACCCCACCAGTGGGTGATCTGCTGACCCATGCGGGTACCTTATAGATATCTCTGTCGCACATACAATGACTACTACAAATCGGAAAACATTAAATTCTTCTTCTATGTATCCGAATACATTTCTGTAGTTTCGTGACAAGGCACCTCCATGGATGTCATGTAATCTGTTCCTAGTTTTGTTCGAAAGGCAGCAGAGAGTACACAATCCTGCAGTCAGAATACCTCTGTCAGTCTGGTTGTCAGTATACCTCTGGCAGTACGGTTGTCAGTATACCTCTGTCAGTCTGGTTTTCAGAATACCTCTGTCAGTCTGATTGTCAGTATACCTCTGCCAGTCTGGCTGTCGGTATTAATCTCTCAGTCTAATTGTCAGTATATCTCTGTTAGTCTGGTTGTCAGTATACCTCTATCAGTCTGGTTGTCAGTGTACATCTGTCACTCTGGTTGTCAGTATACCTCTGTCAGTCTGTTTGTCGGTATACCTCTGTCAGTCTAGTTGTAAATATACCTATGCTAGTATGGTTGTTGGTATATCTCTGTCAGTCTGGTTGTTGGTATACCTCTGTCAGTTTAGTTATTGGGATACCTCTGTCAGTCTGTTTGTCGGTATACCTCTGTCAGTCTAGTTGTAAGTATACCTATGCTAGTATGGTTGTTGGTATATCTCTGTCAGTCTGGTTGTCAGTATACCTCTGTCAGCCTTGTTAAAAGTTGGTATAACTCTGTCAATCTGGCTGTCGGGATATCTCTCTGTCAGTTTGGCTGTCACCATACCTCTGGCAGTTTGGTTGCCTGTATTAATCTGTCAGTCCGGTTGTCAGTATATCTCTGTTAGTCTAGTTGACAGTATACCTTTGTCAGTCCGGTTGTCAGTGTAAATCTGTAGGTCTGGTTGTTAGTTTTCCTCTGTCAGTCTTGTTCTCAGTATATCTATTTCAGTATGGTTTTCAGTATATCTCTGTTAGTCTGGTTGTCAGTATACCTCTGGTAGTATGGTTGTGAGTATACATCTGTCAGTCAGTATACTTCCGTCATTCTGGTTGCCAGTATATCTCTGTTAGTCTGGATGTCAGTATATCTCTGTTAGTCTGGTTGTCAGTATACCCGCCCAGCCTATTAGATCTCATTTTCACCCATAATGTAGAAGACATCGAGCAGTTGGAACATGAAATACCACTAGGAGCCAGTGACCATTGTGTCCTAGTCTTTGACTACATGATGGAGCTTAAAATTGTGACCAAAGGACAAGAGGTCCGGGAAAGGAGACTTGATTACAGAAAAGGGGACTACAGAAGGATAAGGGACTACCTGGGAGAAGTGCAGTGGGAGGAAGAACTTAGAGGAAAAACAGTGCAAGGTATGGTGAACCAGGTCATATTGAAATGCGAGGAGGCTGAAGAGAGATTTATTCTAACAATAAAGGAAAAAAGCAAGAGGGAATATAATAACCCATGGTTTAATAGACAGTGTCAGGAAGCAAAGGTGAGAAGCAGGAGGGAGTGGAGGAAGTACAGAAGACAAAGCACAGAGGACAACAGGATTAGATGTAACAGAGCTAGGAATGATTACATTAACATAAGACGAGTGTCGGAAAGAAATTATGAGAATGATATTGCAGTCAAAGCGAAAAAGCAACCTAAATTACTACATAGCCGTATAAGAAGGAAGATGTCGGTAAATGACCAAGTGACAAGACTGAGGAAAACAGAAGGGGCATATACAGAAAGCGACAAGGAAATCTGCGAGGTACTGAATGCAAAATTCCATGGAGTGTTCACAACCGAGCCTGAGCAGCTCCCATTGTTAGAAGCGATTACCCTAGATGAAAGACTATCAGATATAGATGTGACAGCAGAAGAGGTAATGAAACAGTTGACAACACTGGATGCAAATAAAGCTGTTGGACCAGACAAAGTATCACCGTGGATACTTAAAGAGGCAGCGCAGGCTCTCAGCGTGCCTCTGGCAATGATCTTTAATGAGTCACTTATGTCGGGAGAATTGCCCAGTTGCTGGAAGGAGGCAAATGTCGTGCCGATTTTCAAGAAAGGTGACAGGGAGGAGGCACTTAACTACAGACCCGTATCACTGACAAGCATCCCCTGCAAAATACTTGAAAGAATAATTAGGCTAAGACTTGTTGAGCACCTGGAGAGCATTGGGTTTGTAAACAAGCACCAACGTGGGTTCTGGACAGGGATATCATGCCTAACAAACCTTTTAGAATTCTATGATAAAGTAACAAGGATAAGGCAGGACAGAGAAGGCTGGGCAGACTGCATATTTCTTGACTGCCAAAAGGCCTTTGATACAGTACCACACATGAGACTGCTATACAAACTTGAGAGGCAGGCAGGAGTAAGCGGAAAGGCCCTAGTATGGGTGAAGAACTACCTAACAGGAAGGAGCCATAGGGTAAGGGGCGAGAAGTCGGACTGGCGAACAGTAACAAGTGGAGTACCTCAAGGATCGGTGCTGGGACCAATCCTCTTTCTAATTTACGTAAATGATATGTTTACAGGAGTGGAATCATACATGTCAATGTTTGCGGATGACGCAAAATTAATGAGAAGAGTTGTGACAGAAGAGGATTATAGGATCCTCCAAGAGGACTTAAACAGGTTGCAGAGATGGTCAGGGAA